GATACTGCCACACCGGTGATTTCCTGAACTAGTATAAGTCCTCTTTTCACCTGATCCTGGCCTAGAGTTGCCAACCCCCAGGTGGTACCTGGAGATCTCCTGGGATTACAACTGATCTCCAGGTGACAGAGATCAATTCTCCTGGAGAAAATGGCCACTTTGGAAGGTGGACTCTATGGCCTTGTACCCCACTGAAACCCCTCCCCTTCCAAACCCCACCCTCCTCAGGCTCCACCCCCAAAGTCTCCAGGTATTTCCCAACCTGGAGCTGGTAACCCTGTTCTGGCCCCTATTCCCTTGCAAAGCAGCCAGTAAGATAAGGGGGCTGCCTTTGGCAAGACCAGCACAACGTGACCATCTTCAAACCCCACCCTCCTCAGGCTCCACCCCCAAAGTCTCCAGGTATTTCCCAACCTGGAGCTGGTAACCCTGTTCTGGCCCCTATTCCCTTGCAAAGCAGCCAGTAAGATAAGGGGGCTGCCTTTGGCAAGACCAGCACAACGTGACCCATCTCTCTGCCAGCATCGTTGGCCAGGATCGAGATGCCTTGACAAAGATACAAAAACCCGTCATCCTCATTAAAGCCAGCTCCTGTCTGCTCATGGGCCGGGAAGGCTAGCCGGCTACTGGAGACAATTCCTTTTCCAAGCAGCTGTTCTATAGCTGCCTAATGACAGTCTGGTTTCTGGATTTCTGGGTAACTCCCTTGCGGCGCAACGCCTTTGAAGGGAATTTATAGTTTTTTTTCCAGCCTTAATTTCCAAGGGGAAGTTTTGGTGCTGAGTTTCTCTACTGCAAAAAAAAAAAGAAAAGAAAAAAAGACACTTTGAGAAATGCCTTCTTTTTGCCTCGCGATGAAGGAAGTTTCGAGACCCTTTCGTCTAATGGGAACTGTCCAAGCTGCACTTTGGACCGGGTCAAAAAGCAGGGCCCACATTGGACCTGTTTGTATGGAAATCTGCTGCCTCCTGTCTCTGATATGCAGAAGAAGAAGAGTTGGTTTTTATGTCCCTCTTTCCTCTACCCTAAGGAGTCTCATGGTGGCTTACCATCACCTTCCCTTGCTCTCCCAAGGTAGGTGGGCCTGAGAGTGTTCTGAGAGAAGTGGCCCAAGGTCACCCAGCAGCAGGCTTCATGTGGAGGAGTGGGAAATCGAACCCAGTTCCCCAGATTAGAGTCCACCGCTCTTAACCACTACACCACATTGCAGGTGCTCCTACGATTGCCAACCTCTCGGTGGGGCCTAAAGATTTCCCAGAATTTCAGCTGATCTCCAGGCTACACAGATCAGTTTCCCTGGTGAAAATGGCTGCTTCGAAAGATGGGCTCTGTGGTGTTATACTCCAGTGAAGATCCTCCCCTCCCGGTTTGGTGCAGTGGTTAAGTGTGTGGACTCTAATCTGGGAGAGCTGGGTTGGATTCCCCACTCCTTCACTTGCAGCTGCTGCATGACCTCGGGCAAACCATAGTTCTGTCAGAGCTGTTCTCTCACGGA